AAACGAGTCTGAATGCTGATAAACTTATTTGCCATCTTGTAAAGACACTGAATGCAGTTGCCTAACATCCAGTATCTTTACAAGCTCGCGTGTGACTTTTCTGTTTTTAAAACAACCCGAGGCACGTTTCAAGTCCTCGACAGACAGACTCGCGTCGGAGACCACGCCTTCTATCTCCACATCTCGAGAAGGGATGTAGATGTTGTACTCAACACTGAACAACTCGTGATCAGCAATTTTATTTGCTTTTTTTTTTTTTTTTTTTTTTTTTTTTTTTTGTAGTGATCCAGTGGCAGCAACTTGCTAAAACTCTACACTGGACCCCTTTTATTGATAAATTTTGCTTCTATGAGCCTCTATTTTAAATCAACACACAGACGTTCCTAGGCTATGGTGCCCATTTGGTCACTGTTGTTTTTGTGCTGATCCAAATAGTTTTGATAATATAATTGCGCATTTTTTTTTTTTTTTTTTTAATGTTGATTTTGTCCCAGTCTTGTCTTCTGTCGTCACTTATTTTGTCATTTTTCTTGTGTATTAACCCCCACTTGTCTTGTTTATTGTGTCAACTTGTGTCTATTGTCCTTCCCCATCTGTTACTCTGTCATGACTAATTTCATTGATATATAAAAATAGTAATATCAATTACAGGATAATATGGTTATTTCTCGATTACTTTTTCAAAGGGAAGCACCAGCTCCTGCAAACAATGCATCCGATCGTCGATCCGGCGCAACCGGCATCTCGCACACGCTTATCAACACCACCAGCAGGTAGAGGAAAATTTCCCCTATCTGATGATAGTGCCAGTTAAGCCAAATCGACGACCAAACGCACCGCCTACAAAAGCCGATACGCTCCCTTGAAAAAGTTATCGAGATTTCTACTAATTAATGAATTATTGACAATTACCTCTCATGATCCTTGGCTCTGATTTTAACTTACCACTTTTTGATTATTTATCAAATACCTCTCCCAGAATATATAACTCCCAGATGCTTTGTTGGTTTCTGGTCTCATTTGGATTGGTCCTGAATTTGTTTGACATCCTGTTCGAAGTAATTCTTTGAGTTCCAGCTTGTACGTGTCTCACGTCATATGATTCGCCATTCATAAAGATAATGGGTTAAAAGGGAGTAAAACATACATAAAGGTAGATTAGTATTAGTTGTACTTGATCCAAACAATAGAAAGAAGCATAAATGACTTAGTAGAAAAATAAAACTAATAAATAGCTAAAAGTGCAATGGATAAGTGTTAGTTCCGGGATCATTTTAGTGTTAGTAGTTATGTTAGTTTTGATCCGTATTCAGCCCTGCTGGCCCCTCAAGCACTATTTGCAGCAATTGTGATAAGATTATGCGACACTGCTACTACTACTATGTTAGTTGTATGACTTGTCAATTTTCGCAACGCAATGTCTTTCAATAAATCACTCAATCAATTTGATGTTTGAAAATTTGCTCAAAAGGGCTTTGTTGACACATCATACCTTACCGAAAACTAAAGCACAACAATCCTAATTCTTATTTCAAACCTATCAACATATTTAACACATCTTTCCTAAAACTTCACTTGTTCGTAAGCGCCTGGTTGAAGATATGACTTTCGCTATTGACATTGTCTGTAATTAACAAATACACTAAATAGGAAGATTTATTATACAACTTCATAGGCTAGTCGCCTCCCTAAGTGGACCCCCCGCGTCCTATCTCTTATGTTAATTAACTTTCTGAATTCTATAATTGAAGTTTATTTAATAAATAACTGAAATCTCTAATCTACCTACATAACCCATGCTTTTAAATTACAATTTAACGTGTTTCAAGTACTTCTGGCTTTTACATATCTTATCTTATATCTTTGTTCGTCCCAGATGACACCTTCAAGTGACTAAAATGCTTCACTTTGAAGTTAGTTTCCAAGCTAATTTTAAATTGTATATTGTATAGGGTAAATGTTCCAACTACGCTCTCACGTTTCCACTATGTGGCCCCACAAAAATACATATGGGTATGTCACAATAGAAGCACACCGCAGTGGAAATCCCGAGCCATAGTTCAAACACTTATCCCAAATCAAAATGAAGCATAGATAAGATTAGTTACAATACCATGTACAAAAATTATGTTTAACATTGTTTCCTGAGTAATACTTCAATGAAAACAACAATGAAAGCTTGTCACGCAAATAGAAGGAGCACTGTTGGGCACTTTCTGAAATATTTCAATAGTATAATTCCCTTGCAAACCCAAATAAATCTATCTGCGTAAAAAATAAATAAAATAAGAGTGATTTGCGGCAAAACCCGCCAGTATCACACCCAACGTCAGTGCCTATACGTAAGCGTACTACGACGCGGCTCTCAATAAAAGGAGTAACAAGTGTGATACTATCACTGCTAGACTAGATCTTTGGTTCTCTCATGCAGCGGTTTATCAGAGAGGGGAAGCTTAGTAATCCCCATCGCCTGCCCATGTCGCCATTCTATCGCGGCATGAGCCAGCAACGCCGACCATAAACCTACCGTCTCCAACACTCCACTATAAAGCATGAAATTAAGCCCGCCCACCAACAGCAAGGTGCAAAAACTAGCCAAGGGGAGGGGTGATCAGCAATTTTATTTGCTACATCATAATTCGGTGCTTCTACACGCAGTTTGTTGAATCTCTCCTTATGTACCGAGATTCCTGGATACTTACGCAGCAAGTCTCTCAAAATGTCGAGAGTTTTCAAAGGTTTATTTTTAGGCCGGAAAAAGGTCCTTTCGAAAGTGGTTGGTAATACCTGGTTCGCGCAACGTTGGCATCGGAAGACCCTAATAAACGTGTACCATATACTGACGATATCTTAGATGGTGCGACCATACCACATAAAATTGGGATGATATCCCGAATTGGTGGCTAGGCGCATCTTATGGTTATTGTTTATGCGGGGATGCCATAAGTGTTGCGCAAAAGCTGTGCGCAATCGCTTAAAAAGGAAAACAAATAAAAACCTTCTCCAATTGATTAATTTTAATTACTAGTAATTAAATATTTTGCACGGCGTACAAGCAAATTAAAGAGAAAAAAAAATCGAGAAAAAAATTTATATCTAGTTTCAACAAGTTGTCTCACTATGAACCATACTCCCTTACCAGGGGTGAGAGACAGAGCCACGCGCCACGAGGCAAAACAAAACTACAATTGGCGTCTTGCAGTGAAACTTTTCCAAGCTTTCGCCTCCTACATTTCAAAGTGAGAACTACTAGAAGGAGGATAGTTTCCAAATTTTCCAAGTAAAACAGACGATTTTTGAGGCATATCGGTCCAAAAAGAAAAACTAATAATTTCCCGTGGAAACTTTTGCTTGAATCGTGTAAGAAAACGTGTTTGCAAACTAACTGTTATTATTTCGGTATCGATCGGAGATGTTTTCGTGGAAAATTATGCATAACAAGTTTGCACCCACAGGGAGAGGTTACCTCCTGCGCAGCTGCATTTTTCGGAAAATGGTGAATATGAGCGATTTCCACTAGGATGAAAGTGGAAATTAAGTGAATTTACTTAGGAAAGGTTGTATGATGCTGGTGGTAATGGAGAATTGGCTGTATAGGACGCCAATATTCAATAAATGTTCATTTTGCCCTTTTCTTAGCAAACATATTGATACTCACAATTTTCGACGGAAAACGCAACGGAACTTGCTTTACTCAACACGCACCATACTATAAAATGGTGCTAGATGGTCTTCAAAGTGATAGCAAGATGACAAATCATTGTTATTTTGAGTAATTGAGCAATTTACTTCTGTTTACATCATATTTACGATGCAGCATTGTTGGAGCCGCGAAATGAAATGAATATAGGTATCTTATGAAAGTTCAACTGGAAAAGTCAAAGATGCACATCAGTCTGATCGTAAAAACGTTTTCTTCTTCAATTCGAATGTTATATTGGAAGAATTTTACACAGGCTTGATGAAAATTATGATTTAACGCTAATTTTCACGAATTTTATATGCAGTCTGTCAACATTATCATCATCATGCAGTGGCGACATCTACGTTGAACTGTTACGGCAATCTTCCAATAGGGAGGCAATGGACTTGCAAAATGTATTGTCTAATACTTATGCCGGTTGTGTAAACAACCTATCAGCCGGAGCAGCTAGGTATTCCGTTTGCTGCTGCTACGATGCGGCTATTGACGGAGCTGGTGCGATGATGATGGTGATGATTTTATCACAGACAAACAGACGTAACTCTTCATTGTGTATCTTAGTTCACGCATTTAACGGTTGATTTGAATATTATAAGTTCCGCGAACTACTCGCTGCAGCGCTGGCATCGGATCACTTTAACGTTGCTATACATTCTATAGAACTTTAATGCAATATTTGCAATATTGCTTGTTTTCCGCGAGAAGCCCTAGAGATGTCGTTACTGAGGTCCTATGTTTTACGATACTATGTTTTCAAGAAAAACTTTTTCAAATAGTTACGTCTGTTTGTCTGTGATTTTATGATGATCGATCACTGGGTTAAAGATGGACAGTCTATTCGTAAGACTCAGCTTACGATAGCTGCTTCCGAAAACCGTGCGCGATTCACCTGAACACTTTTTTTTAACAACGAGAGCGATGGAAACGCGGTCAAAAAACGAGTGTCGTATGAAGAGACCAGGACGCTGTTAACTGGCTCAGCGCTCGATATGGAATGAGGAATAAGAGTTGAACAAGTTAGAAATTTGATAGGTTGAGCACTGAAAAGTGCTGTTTAAATTTGTTGTAGCTTTAGGTAGTAGTAACACTTCCTTCAGCAAAAAGCAAATAGATCCGCACGGCAAGAGAGCAAGATGCGGACTGGGAGGCAGTTTGTACTTAATGCTTCGTTGCTAACTGTGATGCAATTTCTTCAAAATCTGCAGTTTTAAATTTTATTTTCGGAATTTAAAATTTTGTAATTTGTTTATTTCAAAAATTGAATCATACCTAACGAAAGACCTATGTTTTTTTTCAGATTCCAGCGCACGCACAGCTACCCCCATCGTACAACTCCGTGGTAACTAGCATGACACCAGCTGGTTATCCACCATACCCGCCGGGGATTGTTCACCAGCAACCGTTCTATACCAACAGCTGGAGCGTGAATCCGTCCGCACAGCAGGCCGCCCCGATGCAGTTTGCTCCTCATCATCTTCCCCCGCCGCCACCGTACGCCGCTGCCACACAGCAGGCTGCCGTTGCGGCCCTCCAAGCTCAATCCGTACACCAGACGATGTATCAATATCCGATCGCCACTCAACAACAAGCGCAACAACCACAAGTGTATCAGACGCCAATGTACCAGGTGCAGGTGAGTTTCGCTGTCGTAGCCAAACAATGGAACTGCTGGTATTGAATTCTTGGGGCTCCACAATTAACATGTTGCTTTCTTTTCTCGTCAGGGTACGATGTATGACGCCGGTGCTCGCTTTGGTAAGAGTGGAGGAGCGGCCACAATTCCTCCGCCACCACCCGGAATCGCCCCCAACCCAGCCCAGATAGCCGCGATGCAAGGCCAGCAAGTTGTGATGACCAAAAAGAAGAACAACTTCGTGCACGGTGGCAATGGAGCTGGATTTACATTCTGGTAAATTGTAGCCTTTACGGGCTCCAGGTGAACGCAAATCATTGTTTGCGCTGCTCAGTGGATCCACACACAAAAAACCCACTTATCCAGTGATGCCGTATTTCTCTAGTATTGATTGGTTCATGTAGAAGTAGCCCCCGATCAGTTTATTTACACCTGGCAGTTAATATATTTTTGTTCCTCACTGCCAGGAAAAAATGCCATTGATAAGTTTCGATTTTTAGTCAAAAATAATTGATTATTTGTTCTCCGTTGTTCCTTTCCATTTTTTTTTATTAGATTATACATTTTGACCCCATTTATAATGCAAATATAAACAATAAATTTCTGAAATGCAAACGCAGCGAATTGTAACGAATTGTGTACGTCGACGACGAAGTTAGTTGATGCAGAAAAAAAAGTACTACTACTACAACACAAAAAGGAGTTATTGAATAATTATTAACCATGGTAAGATGATAAACAAAAACGATCGGCAAAACGACCATTTAGAAGGTCGAAGACAGTTACAATGTACCAATTTAACGAGAATGCAGCAGTTATCAATTAAATTCGAATAATATAGCACAATATTATTCACCTAAAAAGAAAACTAGTACCAGCTGACAGAACAAAAAAAAAGCTAACCAATATCCTACTTATATTGAGCGAATCAGTTACAGAACAACAAAACAGCACACATTAAACAAGTAGTAGCCGAAGAGAGGAAGATTTCAATTAGTCAACAATGGTTTGCGACAGTCGATCGAAGCACACAAACTAATTTAGATAACATCAAAGGCCCTCCTTAATTTGCGTAACCAGCTCACAGCAGAAAAAAAAATCAACCATACCAACATATGATAGCAGGAAAGGTGCCTGCCTACTCCCGAAAGCAACTTCCTAACTATCATTTTCCTACAACAGAACAATGCCATATACCTACCACGGAACAGAGCAAGAATCGACGTCCTTCGTCGTCCTAGTTCGAAGAGAAAAAAAAAGTTCGTTTGGTTCTACAAGGTACCACGCGTCTGACGCGGTGTGATCTGAGCTCGTTTGCGTTCGTTTCGTGTAACGCAAAATTAACAACAACAACAATACACTTCAAGCAATCGTGTATCGTGTGATAGGCTGTAAGATTGTCCGGGAAACCAAAAATTCACAAGCAATCAGGTTATATTTTTTTGTGCGCTTAGGTACTTCTTTATTTAATTGTCGCATAAGGTATTTTTTTAAACTTTTTGAAGCTCAGTTAGCGTATGTTACATAGAGGTCAAGAGCAAGGCGCTATGAAGATCAAGAGTGGCGAATGAAAAAATGTCCGTAAAAAACTAGTTCACATGCATAGGCATAACTAGGATTACGGGTAAGGGGGGCCTAGGCCAGGCCCTAGGTGACTAGACATAAACCGTAAACTATCGGTGGTATGGAGGGATCATCAAAATGTCTTCACTTCTAAATACAGGATGATTCGAAATAACTGTCACGGTTAAAAATGGTCATAACGATTGAACGCTTGCATGCATTTTTGATATCAGTATATTCCGGATATACTACACATATAACCTTCAACTTAGCATACTTTAATTCAAATCTCTCTCCCTTTACCTTAATTACCAGCCACATCTGTCACGAAATTTAACCACAGCTGGTACGCACGCTTTAGTTCCAGCACTTTTTGAGTTCTGGCAATGCGTCTAAGTTCTGATAATGAACGCATTTTCCAAGCATGGTTCCCTTTGTACCTGTAAGATAACACACGAGATTGATGTTAGGGAACTTCGTAAATTGTTGGGAAACTTAAAAAAAACCGTTGTAGAACTTCAGGAACTGCGTAGAAGTTCTGAAGATTTTTTAGAGGTGTAACAAATTTTATAGGAGTTTAGTTATTATTGTAGATGCTCAGTGAACTTCGAGGAAATGCAAATTATTTAGTAGAACTATCATCAAACTTTATAGAAATTTGGGGAAGCTCGTTAAAGTTTTGGCATTTTTCTTTGCCTTCATTGAGTTTCTTTAAACTTTAGTGGCTTTGTAGATGTCAAAATCGCGGAAATTCGGAAAGCTTCGATTTTTTTTGTTGAAAACATTAAAAGTAAAATTGGGGAACATGAAGTTTTGGAAACTTCAATGAAGTTAATGAAACTTTCTTTTATTGCAGGAAACTCTAATAAAATTCCGGGAACATCTTTAGCACTTCCTAAAAAAATAGTTTAACTAGTTTAGGGAATTGCATAGAATTTAAAATTTTGTATAAAACTTCAAGGAACAGAAACAAAATTCTCATAAGTTCGGAAAGCTGCATAGAAAGGCTACGCATTTAAAGTAGTTCAGCAATCTTTGTACAAGTTGAGCAAATTAAATAGAAAATCGAAGAACTTCGCAAAACTTATTTGAAGATCAAGGAATTATGTAAATTACGTCCGGGAGCTTCGGATAAAGGTTTTCAAAAAGAACTGTTCACAACTAACGCTAAACATCAAGACTTGATTACTTCTTCAAAGGGACGTATCAGCTTTTGTAAACAATGCATTTTTTGATCGTCGATTTGGCGTAACTGGTAGCTCGTACACGATTACTAACACCAAGCATGGGAAAAATCGTTCAATTTTGCATTCTCAACTCACTCACACGCATACAACATCAGAAACGAACAGCAGCTTGTGCGAGCCGCACTGATTTCGTTCGTATTCGCATTGCTTCTATTTTCTTCGATGAATGCAGAATTGAGCAAAACAGACAGCTGAGCGTAACATGAATGATTCTGAGTGTAGTAGTGTGGATAATTCCTCTCTTATTATTTTTTCCATGCTGAGCCTTTTACGATTGCATTCTGCTGAGTGAGCTGAATGAGAATTTTGCAGAAAGAATCACTTTTTATTTTCTAGCTTTAAACATACATTGACACATTTAAATCGCTATTAATATCGAGAAAACTGTTATACTGTAGCACATAAACATAAGCGTCACGCAAATAACTTAAAACTGCTGTGGTCAATTCAACTGATTTAAATCAGTGAGCCAAAAACTATCTGACTCGGCTATTTAAATCGTAAGCATTCGGATTTTACGCATTCAATCTGGTTCTCCCTCGCTAGAGAAAATTGTTCGGCTGCCTTTCAGTTTATCCTTATTTCCTTCTACTGCTGTCAGTTCGGAGTCGAGCTGCAGAGTCACTTGGTAGGAAGAATTTACACTCGTTCGGCAATCTGTTTGTAGGCGAGGATGGCTATTTTGATTCTGTGGAGCTCGCGCGAGTGAATGAATTTTCCCATGCTTGACTAACACCACTAGCAGGTAGGGGAAAATTTCCATTATCTGATGGTAGTGTTAGCTTGCGTGGGCGAGCTACCAGTTACGCCAAATCGACGATCAAATGCATTGTTTACAAAAGCTGATACGTCAATTTTTCGTCGATTATTCAATTTTGGTATTATAAAAATGGTTCTACCTGTTAAACTGCCTATGCTTTATTTCCTGTTGCTATTTACTCGGAGCTGTGTGCCTATTCCTGAGGTTGCTAATGCTGGCGGTTTATCGTGGACTTCGGTTCCGTGGCTGCTTACCCTGGTGAATGTGCTGACCGGGTGTGATATCGACTGGGTTAATGGCCGGAATGCTGACTGCGCTGGCTGATGGACTGAACGAGGTGTTGGCTAGAATGTTGACTCTGCTGGCTGGTGCGATGATCGGGTGGTTGGCCGAAGTACTGACCGTGCAGAGTGGCGTCTGTAATTGTTGACTGTACTGTGGCTGGTGTGATGGATGATATGATGGGGCCGTTGGTAACTTGAATAAGTTCAGGGAACTTCTTAGAAGGTCGGCTAGATTTTCGAGAATTTGTAGATTGGAATAATGTAGAAATGCAACATGATGTTCTGAGATCTTGGTCAAATTTCCAGGAACAGACAATGAATGAGACATAAGAAATATTTGCAAGTACAGCTATCTTGGTAAAAAATTAGTTAGTTGTAGTTTGTGTAAGCTCAATATTAGCCACCTCAGTTAGGAGCAATTCTGAGACTCCCTGACTACAATGGCTTCAGGGTCGGCACGCTTACCGAACTAGGTTTATTTGTTTATTTGTTATGTTTGCATCAACAGACTAGAAATAGTCCCAATGATGTGTTGTAAAAAAAAGTACAGATTATACAGACTACATATACTACAGTTACAAACGAAAATAACAAGGAAAGCATTTTCAAGCAACTAAAAATGTATAAGTCTTAAATTTTACACTTAGCTGTTGGGCGTCAAGCGCCTTCGGTCAGCAAAAAAGGCAGAGAATCTTCGGCGAAGCATATTCCGTGTCAAGTGGAAATCGAATATCGAGCCAATCGGTTGAACAATTTCTGCAAGCCGTAAATAGCGCTCCCTAAGCTATAATTAATTCGAAGAAGTGGAAGTCTCAGCATAAGACTGTTACGTAGTGATCGAAGTTGAACATTAATGTTCACTTGTTGGAGAATTGCTTCGCAGTCGATTCTTCCCTGCAGAGTATCGGCGACGGTTAAGGCTCTGAAAACATCTCTTCGGATACGTAAGGGCTCAACATTGATCAATTGGCAGCGATTCTCGTAGCTTGGAAGACGAAGTGAATATCTCCAAGGCAGCTTACGGAGCGCGAAGCGAAGAAAACGTCGTTGCACAGAATCAATTCGCTCGGTCCCATCATTGTAGTTCGGGCTTCAGACTGTAGAGCAGTATTCCAACGTGGATCGTACGAGATTGCTCTCTGATTTCAAGCAGTAAATGTCTGTGAAGTTCTTAGTAATCTTGAAGACAAAGCCAAGAGTTCTGGACGCGACGATGTTTTACAGTGAGAAATATTCAATGAGTTATGTCTGTTTGTCTGTGCAAAAACTACCTGCCATGATTTTTCAACATATTAACGAGTACTCTACACGATATTCTAAAAATTACTCGACACTGAGACGCGAACACTCACAAAATTCAGAAAACCTCGTGGACGCAACTTACCAGCAATTCGCAGAATTTCCCACACATTTCGGGAACTTCATAGAGGCTCGGGGAACAGTTAAATCTAGATTGGGAAAAAGTTCAGGGTGCTTTATTTGAGTTCATTGAGTTTAATAGCTAAAGAAACTTTGTAAACGTACTGGAACCTGCGTAAAGTTTTATAGAACTTAGTTGATATCCATGGATGTTCAATATGATTTCAATCAAGTTCCTGGATGTTTTTCGAAGTCTTGAAAAATGAAAAGCTTCATTCAGTATTATTCTAAGCCTCAGAAACACTTCTTCACAGAATTCCAAATGTTTTCAAAATTAAGACATGTCTTCAAAACGAATGAAGGGATTCAACCTCATATGAGACGTTTGTGTGTAGCAAAAATAATAATAAAAGATTAAGACCAATCATCAGCCGTGAATAGGTATTTTATTAAGAAATTCAAAGTCGCAGCAGAGTTTGTTTTTACGTGATCTGGAAAATTTCGCAACTGCTCCATGTAATGCAAAAATATATTGCTCTGGTATTTATTTCTGAAATTCTCTGAGGAGGGTCAGCTCTAATTCTGGGGGGGTTGCCCCGGATACCGCACTGACCGGGTACCCAAACAAATGAGGTGTTCGGCGGCGCGGCCTTTTGGATCCCTTGTATCCAGGGGTGTTTGGATGTTGCTGAATTCAAGGCGTATAAAACGCTGGCGGAGTCTGTTAGGATGGGTTTATTGGCGGGTGATGTGGTGGCGAAGTGGATGGCCTCCGCCTCCGCCGAGAAGACGGAGCACTGATCGGGTAGTCGAAATAAGTAACTATTGGATACATCCGCTACTCCGAATCCGACCTTCCTCATGGCCTTAGAGCCGTCCGTGTAACGGTGTTGAAAATTTGCGTATTTAGTTCTCAGCAGCTCCGCTACGTGGGCCTGCATGGACGGGCGTTACCTGCCTTGAAGCGCCTGTCAGTTGAAAGGTCAACGCGTATGGTTGGTTCTGTCCATCCTCTGACTCCGTTCCAGTGTACCCTGGACACGGGTGGAAGCCCCTTATGGACCAAGTTTCCGAGAGCTCTGTTGCCCTCCCTGAGGAGAAAGTTGGCTTTGATCTCATTGAAATGTGCTTCGAACCTCAGCTCCCGGTCCAAGCGTACACCAAGAACCTGGATGGTCTTCTTGTTGGGTATTGGAATGTTGTTCACAACGATGGCTGTTGGAAGCGGGAGATAAGGGAGTGGCATAGGTGGGAAACCACGCTCTTACTAAATATATTAGAGACGCAACTTGTATTAGTTTTTAGTTTGTCAAACATCGAGTTATTTATTTCTTAGATATGTACTAAATTGAACAGTATCAGGCAACTTTAACCCTTTTGCAACAGGAAACGCAGGATACACAAAATGCATTGATCATTCAGATCAAAGCAGAAATATAATTAAAAAAAAACATTATTTTGACTGCTTTTAACTTTCGGATCAAAGCAGATATAAAAAAAAACCCGTCCCGATCGAGGCAACCTCCTTCAACGTGCAATTTTCTGTCGCATGGCGGCCGTCATTTCGTTTTGATAGCAAACATTAAGCACCACTCTGTAAGCTTCCAAGTATATATCGAAGTGATTATGTGGATGGGTCCATGAGTATCGCTGAACAAACTGCTGCAGTGCGTTTAGTTTATCTGCGTTGCAGAATTCTGCTCCCGTCAACAATCTCTGCACGATCTCCAAATGAGCCGGAACGATGCGGCAACGTCTGTTGAGTTTAGCTAACCACTTTCGGTGCTTTTCCTCGTCGCAAAAATTGCACCGACAATGAAACTGTAGCGCATCCAACCGGATTTGTCGTTCTTCCGGTTCTTGGCTACACAAAGGCCCGTGCGATATGAGGACCTGTGCACCACGACGAATGGGACGCAGCACGATTAATTTTAATTGGCCACCGTAGTCCAAAAGCAGCGTATTTGGATCACACGAGTGACTAAAACCCGACGCAACAGGATACAGACGGCAGTTATGCTCCTGCTGGATCGACAAACCTTTATCTTGGATCATTAATTCAAGGAAGCATTTCAGAGTGAAATATTTTACTGTTTCATCGCATATCAGTGATTTAACCAATGGAACCTGCATGTACACCATAAAGCAGATCATAGCATTCAAGTGTAGAATATTATTAATGACTGGTTTTGTACGCAATCGAAGGCTACACGTAAGGAACATCTTGAATTCCTCCAGTGGGTTGTAGTTCATGTAATCTAAATCAGTGAACCTGCGTTCGGTTTGCTTGCAGGCTTTGCAAAATGCCATCATCTTCTGGATGTCGTCGTCAAACAGTGTCAATCCGCGGAAGAACAATCTTGGGCCTATCCAATAGTCATTTTGCTCGCTCAAATTCGCCGTGACGCCACACTCGAAACGGTGTATTTTTAAACCATGCCGCATGCAATCTGCGTCGCAGAACATGGCCGAAGTACAATTCGGACAGGGAATCAAATGGAGTAGATTCTCCGAGAAACAATGATTGCAGTTGGTGAATAGGTTTCGGTGGCAAACACTGACTTGCATCGGCTTCTCCTGAAGAATCACATTTCCAGCTTTAAAGTCTCGCTCGGCTACCATGCTGGTACCGAAGACGGGATGTTTTCGCGCGCTGATTCCCTTAGCGAGAAAAGGAATGGTGGGATTCGCTTCAAGATTGAACGTTAGAGACTGATGTTTAGAAGCACTGCCATTCCGATCGATTTCCTCGAGTTTTGCCCGACAATTAGTTTCACGTATCACCAATTTTGGCATTAACTGTTCCGGATAAATGTGCTTTCTGACCAAAGCAATGTTAGCCAAAGCCATTTTGTAGTCACATTGTTCATAGTAGACAGCCGATCTAAAAAGAAAAAAAACTACCCGCTAGTAGTGAAAAACCATCATGTGGGCGACGTACCACTTACTTACCGATTAGCGAATCCGATGTCTAAATCTGCCGAATCGTTGGGTGCTGAGCAGATACTTTGGTTGTACTTTTCCATGGCGTCCCTATATTGACGCTTCGCATAAAGCAGATTCCCCGACCGCCGGATCTGGGCTGACCGGATGCAGCACTTGGGCAGGTCCTGCATATCCATGACGCAAATGGACCAGATGGTAACGTATCTTATTTCGAACAAGAATTTAGACGCAAGTTTTTAACAAAAAACACGACAGTTTTCACCAGGAAAAAAATGGCACACAAACGCATAACAAAATACACGAAAAATGAGATCAACTCATAAATCGCAAAAAGTGCACACTGCAAATGAGAATGACCCTAATTTGAGTTTAGCTTACAGTGAAACATTGGAAAAAATACTATTGAACACTGAAACACAGAGAACAGAAGTTCAAGTTTGGTCAGAAACTTGTGTAAAATAAGTGGGAACGTCACCGTTACGTGGTGTAGCATCTCCTGATTTTCTCTATAAATTTTCCACTTTCGACCAATTTGGCGCTAGTATCGATAAATTTCTGTTGAAAATTGCCACTTGGCGCTACTAGCACTTAGTGTCTAGTGTAATTTGTGCAACGCCAGCGCCATCATGTTGTCAAAGAAGGTTTTTAATTGGGGAAGTCAACGTTAGTGGCGCTTAAGTCGAATAGGAATCTTTACACAAGTTTTTAGAGAAATTTTGTTCGAGCCTCCATGTCTGGCGTTGCAAAACTTACACTAGACACTAAGTGCTGGTAGCGCCAAGTGGCAATTTTCAACAGATAATTTATCAATACTAGCGCCACAGAGAACAGACATGGAGGCTCGAACAAAATTTCTCTAAAAACTTGTGTAAAGATTCCTATTTGACTTAAGCGCCACTAACGGCGACTTCCCCACTTAAAAACCCACTTTGACAACATGATGGCGCTGGCGTTGCACAAATTACACTATACACTAAGTGCTAGTAGCGCCAAGTGGCAATTTTCAACAGAAAATTTATCGATACTAGCGCCAAATTGGTCGAAAGTGGAAAATTTATAGAGAAAATCAGGAGATGCTAACACCACGTAACGGCGACGTTCCCACTTATTTTACACAAGTTTCTGACCGAGCTTGAACGTCTGTTCTCTGTGCTAGCGCCCAATTGGTCGAAAGTGATAAATTTATAGAGGAAATCAGGAGATGCTAGCGGCACAGAGAACAGACATGGAGGCTCGAACAAAATGTCTCTGAAAACTTGTGTAAAGATTCCTATTCGACTTAAGCGCCACTAACGGCGGCTTCCCCAATTAAAAACCCTCTTTGACAACATGATGGCGCTGGCGTTGCACAAATTACACTAGACACTAAGTGCTAGTAGCGCCAACATCATTTGTATTGACATGGGATCATACACTTGGACAGATTGAGAACACATCCGCCTCCATGCCTCAACGAAATCAATGGGGCTGTACTTAATGCCATCAGCCGCCCTCCCCAAGTACTGATTTACATATTTTGCGAGTGTTTTGGTTCCGTTCCAGGCAACCCTGTATGTTATATTTTCGGTACCTGGTCCTAGCAAATAGTCTCTGGTTGGCGAAAAGCTTGAGTCCTCTGCGTCCACCAAGGCGAGACATATGTAATTTGCATTACCAGGAACATAGATAGTACTGGCTTTGGGCATCGTCACGACTTCTAGTTTGTTCGTGGCAGTTTTCTGGTCATGTAGGGACACTTTCATAACATATCTCACCGCATGGGTCCACCACAGACAAACAGACGTAACTCTTTGAAAAGGTTTTTCTTGAAAACATAGTATCTCAAAACATAGGACCTCAGTAGCGACATCTTTCAGGCTTCTCGCGGAAAACAAGCTTGCTCGCTAACTCGCAAACAATATTGCATAAAAGTTATATAGAATGTATAGAAACGTCAAAGTGATCCGATGCCAGCGCTGCGGCGAGTAGTTCGTGGAACTGATAATATTCAAATCAACCGTTAAATGCGCGAACGAAGATACACAATGAAGAGTTACGTCTGTTTGTCTGTGGGTCCACCATATGGTCACAGAGAACAGACGTTGAAGCTCGGTCAGAAACTTGTGTAAAATAAGTGGGAACGTCGCCGTTACGTGGTGTTAGCATCTCCTGATTTTCTCTCTATAATTTTCCACTTTCGACCAATTTGGCGCTAGTATCGATAAATTTTCTGTTGAAAATTGCCACTTGGCGCTACTAGCACTTAGTGTCTAGTGTAATTTGTGCAACGCCAGCGCCATCATGTTGTCAAAGAGGGTTTTTAAGTGGGGAAGTCGCCGTTAGTGGTGCTTAAGTCGAATAGGAATCTTTACACAAGTTTTCAGAGAAATTTTGTTCGAGCCTCCATGTCTGTTCTCTGTGATATGGTTGAGGTATGCGCAATTAGGAAGGGCATTAACCAAGGACTGATCACCCAGCTTGTTTTCACAGGAATGAACTTAACTATGTCTGGGCTAACGATGGATGTCACTTTGGCCGAGGAGTCTCTCAATGACAACTGTACACGAGAATCAGCTGTCACGTTTAACAGAAAGTCACACGACTCGCAGAATAGGCCTGACAATGTCATGACTTACATCGGTACACAGCACCTAATGTACTTTTAACACCGACAAACTTTTAAGCTCGCTTTTAAATTAACCCCTGGAATTCTGCAAAGAATTACCTGAAATTTTCATCGCAAAGCTCATTGAATTATTTTTTCAGGATTACATTGAAGTTCTTTTTAAAAAATTTACTTTATTATAAAGCACAGGGCTGAATCCTCTCTTACTTTGAAGTTCTCCTTGGAAGTCATTAAGAAAGCTTTCCGGCCATTGATTAAATGGAATTGAAATTAATGTCGTGGAAAAGTTGCTAGGGAGATACTCTTTGAATTTCGCTACCCCTTCACTACGTCGCTGCTCAGTTCCAAATTAGCAAATAATCCATAAATACTGTCCTGACCTCTTGACCTCGTGGCAAATCATCCGGAGAGGAAAACCATCACTCAAAATTCCTACAGACCAACATCCATCTAGCTTCGGACTTCGCAAAGCTAACAATGATTCTAACTGCTGGCAAATTAAACGCAGTTTTGATTTAAACACCCATAAATGATCCGATCAGCAACAAAAAAAAACAACGTAGTCGTATAAAACAGAGCATGCAAACAAACACAACAAAGTAGTAGTAATAAAACAATACGTGATCGACTTAGCTAAAAAGTTTATTCCAAATTAATGCTAAAACAACTACCGAAGAGATACATATTTGATCGAGGTGATTTTTCTTATTATTTTATCTGTTCAGCCTATTCTCTAGTGTATTTTTTGTGTTCTTTTTATGTTTCGAATTATCGCGCGACTGTATTTAATGAAACTATTACAATGAAAGGAAAGAAACACAATAAAAATCAATTAAATTGAGACCAAAATCGGTAGACTTTTCATTTCACTCTGCCATTTTGGTAGGCTCGTCGGTTTCCTTCTCTTCATCTGCCTCTTTCGGTTCTTCGTCTGCACATGTGTCTTTGCTGCCGCAATCGGTGGTCTCTTCCACTTTAGCTTCCAACACTGGCTTTGGTTTGGCAATGACACTCACCGGAAGGGAATCCTCTAGATTCGCTGGATCACTGTCGTGGGCAATGGTAATGTTATGTTCCACAATCGGTGGCTCTGAGGACATTTCCTGATCTCCGGTTTCGACAGCAGTGGCCGTGGTGCTAGACGATTGCGACGGTGATTCTTTTTCGATCTTCGGAATGACCAGCGGCTCCTTCTTGACTTCCTGAGAATCATCTTCGCCATCCGATTCCGATTCGTACTTCTTTTTGCTAAAAGTTTTCTGTGCCGGTAGCTCGACATGGAGATAACAAGTGGAATTCTCGAAAAGGTTTGCCAACGGTTCCTGACAGACGACACCACTCTTTTCGACTCCGCAAGATTTGAACAGCACTTGCTTTTTGTCTTCAAGGATGTGCTTTCGACAAAATTTGCAACAAGGTAATGTCCTTTCTCCGCACTTCACTCCTCCCTCGGTAAATGCACACTTCGGATGTGATGCTACCTTCTGATGCAATCCTTCCGTTGCCTTAGCTCGTTTTTCCAAATACTTCCGATGCAAAATAGCTTCCATTCCGTACTTTCGGTGATAATGATTAAATGCTTTTAACTTTTCATAGAGTTTGCGTTCCTTAGGTGAATCCTTAACCTGATCATGAATACTGCAATACTGTTCGCGCTCACGGCGCAACTCATGAAGATATCGTCGACGTTTCTCTTTCAATACATGTTGCAGCCGATGGAACTGATCGATATACAGGGTTTGCAACCTGATCAATTTTTCCTTTGTGATCATGGTGGCTTCCTCGACTGTGTAAATCCCAGCATGCTTCAGTAGATCTTCATTCTGCGAGTCGACGCTCTCGTTATCGGAATTGTCCACATCATACCCGCGCCATGTATTACCCACCAGAGTGGCTTCATCATCAGTGCTACTGTCGGAAGCATAATCCAGAACGACGCGAGCTGAATCGTTGATTGTGGCTACATCAATATCAACTGAAATAAATACAAACGTTTGATTAAAACCCTTACCTAGAAATTCCGAAACAATTCCCAACTTACCATAGGGATCGACTGACGGTGTAACGACATCAACATCTCCATCTTCATCGTCCTCATGGACACTTATTTTTAATGATGAATTTGCCAACTGTTGTTGTTGTTGTTGTTGCTGTTTGGCCTTGTCCACCTTGACATGATGCGCAAGATTGTGCAGTAGCGTCTCGGTCGTTTCGATCGGTGTGTATTTTCCGACGGTCGATTTAGTCTTTGTCAGCTGCGTCAGCCGGCTATGCTCGAAGCAATAGTTCGTGCCGTAATCTTTCTTGTTGTCGTACTTTGGAGCCGGTTCCAGGCAGCGCTTTCCATTTGATGCGAAAAAGAAAGCGCATTGTTTGTACGGCGCGCGAGTATCTTGCAAGATATGTCGCTTGCAATAACTGTACTGTTCCAAGCGCGGAAGTGTACATTCGAAGGATTGATTGGAACAAGCCTTTGACTTCTTTTCGATCTCCATGTGAATTTGATTACGGAGCGCTTTCTCCTGATCGATCGCGTTTACGGCTGCAACTGTTGTATTATTGCGATGGCCTGATGCTGCGATGCGTCCTCCTCCTCCTACTGTTGTTGATGCCGTTGTCGTTCCGGTGCTGCTACTAGTATGGTGCTGATATGGCCGAGTCCTCTGCTGTCCGCGAGGATTGCTCATCTTCCTGGGACCCTTCTGAAATGAAGAAGCATTCAGGTTTGAGAAAAAAGCACACACATTTCTAAAAAGGAAAACGTGGAATTCTTACTGGATTGTTTTGATTCTGCATCATCCTGATGGCAGAAATTTGGTGACAAAAGAGGGATTGGCTTGTACTAAATTACACTGTAGGAAATGTGGGAAAGAACAAGTTTTAGAACATTTTTCTGGCTGCGCATTATTTTTGCAAATAAATTTTTTTCTTTCGTAAACGATAATATATAAACGCTTATCAATGTGACCGTTAACAGAAGCTCAAATAAATTAAGATTAAAAAGTAATTTTTGCCAAGGTTTCCACGGTGTCATCAAATTTCTCTCATCTAATAGCGAACAAAATAAAAAACAACTGAATAATAAATAAAGAAGGTAAATTCAAATTTTTATGTAGACCTTTTCACTTTAATTTGACAGATGATAAAACTGCGCGAAACTTAACTAAAATCATCCCGTTCTTTTCCCTCACCTGTGAATTTTGGAAGTTCTGCCGGGTTTGTTTTGGTTCCCGTTCTTTTTGGTCTATTTTACCAGACAAAAAATCATTTTAACAAACAACTACTCTAAAATCGGTCGATCAACAACAGAGGAATTTTAGAAGATTTCAATTTATTTTCGAAGCGTTAAATTGAAGTGGAAATTCTCCAAATGGATCATATTCTTAATGTTCCCGTTTTCGAATATTTAGTTATGTACATCATCATGAATAGCATTGATTGATACAAACCGTGGGCACCTGTTAATATAAACGACACATCGTGCATTCTAACGGGATTAATTTTTAATTTGAACTGCTAGAAACCTTATGGCCATCAGAAAAGAAAGTTTCTGGAAGCCTTATTTGCTGCTTTGGTTTTGTTCTGCGTTTCATACACGAAACGAAAATCAATTATTTTATGCATGTGTTTCACTTATACATTTTTACAAATAGACAAACCACATACGTCCTATAAGAATGCATAAAAGGTATGTGAGATCGCTTATACATTTCATTTGACACATGAGCTTCATTAACTTTTTGCAAGGCGTCTGCTTATTAGTTGACTTATACATTTTATGAATAATCAGCAATAGAAATTTGCCAAAAGGTGTAAGGAGATATCTATCCGTGTATCGTTCTATTTCGCTTTTCTTTATTCCATGTGCTTAATGACCGTTAAGCGATTTATAATTTCCATGACATGCAGATTAACGGGGTTCAAACTAAAAAGTGTTCAAATTAAAAACGGTCAGATAACCAGGGGTCTACGGTATTATATTTATTTCCTGTGTAGACATTATAGTAAAAACATTGGACATTTTTGTTGATTATCATAAAATCACAACGAAATTCATGGTTCACATGGAGAAATTTACAGTGAAAAAGGGCATCTTAACGATACAAAACTGATTTTTCTCGAACAAATTTGATCTCACCACATTAATTTGCATTGTTTGAGTATTGTGTCGTTAAAAATTTAAATTTAATTTTTCTCCGTAGATTAATTGAAAAATAAATTTTAATGTACTCAAAATTCAACAGTAAAAATCATTGTAATTTCATTGTTTTATTATAATTTTTTCGGGATGTTTTCTCTAGTTTCTCGTCGCATTATCAAACCTTGGTTTGAAAATTACTGGGGACCCAGGTTTTGATTTCTTTTTTACAATCCGTTCTGTAAAATAAATCAAGCTGAACATTGCATTAGGTCCTAAGTAATATTGATCGATTCTCTTCGTCGACTTTCTCTTTCATTAATAACTTGAGCACATAACCGTTTCTTGTTATGTTTGTTGTATTGAATGCAAGATAAAAGATTCTTTTATCGAACTGTGTGCTGAAAATACCTGGGAATGTTTTTAAATGGCCATGGGGATACAAAGAGAAAGTCGACGAAGAGAATCTGTCAATGTTACTTACGACCTAATGCAATGTTCAGCTTGAAATACCAAGATCTAGATTTTTCAACCTTTCACTCAAAAAAAAATATATTGTGCCATCTTGGCCCAGAAATGTGAATGTAGCCAGAAATGTAGTGCTAGAAGCAACAATCAATTCGAAACTAACGATTTTAAATTGGCTCACTGCTTGACTAGCCTATTGGTCCCAAGCAAACGATTAACGTATTCCATTCTAGTCGAAATTCTAGTACTACACTATGTTTGTTTTGATTTGCTATGAAAGTTTGACCGATAAAATGAGGGGTACATGGATTTTCTTATGTTTCGAGGGGTGAATCGATTAGCTTGGGACCGAAGATAGTACCAGAGCAGAGCCAAAAAGTTGAGCGCCTATCTTCGGGACTTTCTGGTCTTAGAGTTACCTCTATGCTAGAAGTATGTTTCAAACCTGAGGGGTGCGGAGTCGATCACTTTTAATTTTGAAGTTATTTTGCTGAAAAATAATAATTTTCAATTCCAAATTCAATTTACTTTGTTTACATCGAGGTTTACATCCTCTCAACACCGCTCACCAATTGGCGCATTTTTTTTTTTCCAGAGCAAAAATGAGAACTCGTTCATGACTTTCACAGCTTAAAATTGCTTGAATGAGCCCATATTTTGTAAAGTTCGAAATAAGCTTTAAAATGGTTATCAAGTTAAAAGCTAATCAATATCAAGTTAAACGGTCGAATATAATATAGTCTTTTATTTAACGTCGGTCTCTGTTCTGCAATCTAGTGCCAATCACCAACGGACATCGATTGCCATTCTTTGAGGGCAATCGAATATGCAGGAAGGCAGTTTCCATACCTGCGTAGGATATCGCACCCATTCAAGCACACATGGGCCGGGACCAACGGTTTACTTCCCTTCCGAAGGAAGACGTGACTCTCTTTAATAAAGGAAAAAAAAAAAGAAGGAAGACGTGACTAGAGATTTTTATGCCTCAGAAAAATCCCACCGACCTCGGCTGGGATTGAACCCAGACCCATTGGGGTGAGAAAGCAGTCACGCTTACCACTACACCACCGGCGCCGGCAACGGTCGAATATGCTTTTGATGATTTCCCTCAGTCCCGTTTATTTTGATGTTTAAGCAAGAGATCAACTTCATAAATCAGCTGAATTGTAAATACACACTTCCGAAAATACACGACTGTCCTCTGAAGTTTGACAACTAAAATGAGGGGCTCGAGGGGCTTCTGATCTTAGAGTTACCTCTATGCTACTACCATAGAGATAACTCTAAGACCAGAAGGTCCCGAAGAAACGTGCTCAACTTTTTGTCTCAGCTCTGGTACTATCTTCGGTCCCAAGCTAATCGATTCACCCCTCGAAACATAGGAAAATCCACTAGCCCCACATTTTATCTGTCAAACTTTCATAGCGGATCAAAACAAACATAGTGTAATACTAGAATTTTGACTAGAATGGGGTTCGTAATCGATTTGCTTGGGACCAATAGGCTAGTCAAATAGTGAACCAATTTAAAATCGTTAGTTTCTCGACACTCCCAACATAGATTACCCATTTTTTGGTAGGTTCAATTTTGACCGATCTGGGTGGATTCTATCTACCCTATATAAAAAAGACAAAATTGTAAAAAATAGCACTTAAGGGGAAGTTCACCCGAGTTCGCCGCTCCGAAAAAAATATTGGAAAAAGATATCGAAATTCTAAAATAAATCCCTTTTCAATTTTTCAAAGAAAATATTTTTTGTAAGTCATCTTGGCATAAAGTTGGACTTAAAAAACCACAAATCATCGACCTTCCGGTTTTACTGAGTCCATTTTTTTTTCATGATGAGATAGAAAAAAACATATTTTTACGTGTAAATTTTCTCATCTAAGAAAAAACTGATTTTCATGGATTTTTGATAAATTTTCCCGAAATTTTTAGAAAAAATGAAAACTTGCCGAAAATATATTTTCGGGGCGGTAAAATTTCCCTCATAAAAAAGAACGATACCCCAAATTATTGATCTATTCCACAAATATCTTTGAATATATCGATACTCTGAACACGTATTTAAGGCAACAATTGTACAACGGTCTACATTGATTGGCGACAAATAAAATAAATAAATAAATTTGGGTAGTTTTGAAATAGCGTGTACAGTGTTATTCGAAACGCAGCCACTTCAGGCTATTTTATTTTAGTACAATTATGTGATACACCCCTGCGACTCGGGGCAGCGTTCCTAAACGTCAAAACGCGTGCACGTCAAACTGACGACTGCTGAATCTTGCCGTTGTGAGGTCGGCCATTACGGAGTGCGAAACATAGCTCAGTGAAGTGCATTTTTCTACGCGTGAAAATCTCCAAAAAACTCACATACCACTTGCTGGAACCGTTTCCGTCTATCGAAGGACATAAACGTCCAGCAGTTCCGATAGTTTTCCATCGCCGGGAGAACACGTAACGGTCAAAAAGCAAGAAAATTCGGAGCGCTCGTCGAAACAAGAGACGAGGTGAAAGTCTGGTTTCGCGACACGGCGGAAAACACACGTAACAGCCAGTCAGCTATTTCCCTGCTACCAAATAATGGCGTCTCAGGGATTTTTTCTTGCCGTCTGCTGGCTTCAATGAATGGATGATGAAATTTTCTTTGCAGCCCGATTTTTGTGCACTATCGTAGGCGTCTAGTGCATGATTTTATCTAGTTTATGTTGACTAGGTATTCAACTAGCGAACAGTGGGTAAATTGGAAGTACTCACAATCGGTGACAAGCGGAAAATAAGAAAATTCCACGCGCGAAGCTCACGCAGCGACCACCACGGGTAACAACAAATCACTAGACTGTGGCAGCCATATTGTAAAATTCTCATTCGTTTCCACAGACTGGTACGGTTGTGTGAGTGTAGCTTAGCAGGTGTGTGTGTGTGTTGCGTGTGCGGTTATTTACCGACTGTCGCAAGGGATCAAAACTAAAAGCGGAAGCAGGTGTAGTTGTGTACGTGAGGAAGAACGTCGTCACAACAGGCGCAGGATCCGATTGATTGTCAATCGACGCTGTTTTTTTTTGTATTCCCACTATTTAAGTAGTTGGTTTAGTGTTTTGTTTACGGAGAAAACGAGCAGTGCTTTCGAAGAGGAGTTAAATCAATACTTTCATCTTCAAGAAGTTAAGAAAATACAAGTAGTATAGCCGATAGGCTGTGATCATAACCATAGTGATACGGTGTTTTGGAGTGTGATTTTGTAATCGAAAATTTCTGGTTCCGGTAATTCGCTGTTGAGAGGCTGGTAGTGTCCTAGTCTTTCGATGGCGTCTGGAGCAGGTGGGAGCGCAAGTGCAGGAACCAGTAGTAGCAGTAGCAGCAGCAGCAGCGGAACCCTAGCAAGGGATGATTCCAAATGGTACTTCACTGCAGAACAGCTGGCCAATTCACCCAGCCGCAAGTGCGGCATGGATGCCGACCAGGAGCTAATGTACAGACAACGGGCGGCAAACCTGATCCAGGACATGGGGCAGCGGCTGCAAGTGTAAGGATGCCTTTTTCGTATTTATTACCATTTCATAAGATTGTGCAAACGTCAGCGGAAAAAATCGATTATTTGCGGAGTAGCTAATGAAGGGCACCAGGAAAAAAACGAGGGGCGAGTAGCAATAATGGTACATTGACGAGCAAGATGGTGACAATATGAAACGCAGGCTGGGTTTTGAATTGCGTTGTTATTTTCCTAGCAAAAGCATGCAGCACATTGTTTTGTTTATGTTCCTTCATTGAGTGATGAAAAATCTTCCAAAATGCTAAATAAGCAGTTCTTTTTGTGGGACTGTTTATTCCAACACAAAACAAACTTATGGATTCTTGGAGTAGAGAATGTTTATAATATTGCCATGCTTAGAGGGCATTATTTTTCCTATCTTCGTTCAGTGAATGCGATGTGAGATTTTCCTGATAGGTACCTAACTTGGTCAATCTAGGGTTTCATAGAAAAAAGAAAAAAAAAAGCCAATCGAATGTGCTCGTATGAACTAGTGATAATGCTTAGAGAGCATCAATTAAGCACGTTACGCTCTAAGGAGGCAATGGGGGTTTACAAATGTATAACAAGCAATGCATTAGGTATAGCTAAAAGCCTGAATTCAGGCTCTTTAGGTATAACCTAAGAGAAGAGGTGACAATACGGGGGCAAAAATGAACCACTTTTCTGTCAAACGTGAACCAGCTCTTCTTCTTCTTCGTCGCATTTCAAGCTTATTGCATATCGCATATTAGCTTATTGCGTGCTCTCAACTTAGTGTTCTTGATGCACTTCCACAGTTATTAATTAAGAGCTTTCGATGCCTGTACCATTTTTGCATTGATATGATTGTGTGCAAGTATAATCATACTTCTATGCCCAGGGAAGTCGAGAAATTTTCAAACCCGAAAAATTCCTAGACCGGACCGTGAATCGAACCCAGCCACCTCCAGCATGGTCTTGCTTTGAGCTGCGCCTTTACCGACTGAGCTAAGGGAGGCCCCTGAACCAGCTCATGATTGGCTGATTTGATGTGCGTAAGATAGAGATTGTCACCTCTTCCTCTTAGGGTATAACGAGAACGTGACAAAAGGGGGGAAGGAAGGGAGGTTGATATTTCTTATATTTCACGTGTCGTACGTAAAGCATGCTCCCTTAATGAAATAATTTGTGAGATGTGTCACAATGGTAATGCAGCCAGCAAGAATCTTGCTGATTGTCCATAAACTACGTAAACAGTTTTGAAAATGGTTGGGTAGTGTCTAAATTTTAAAACAGCCCGCATAATAGCGAATTTGTTATTTATTCAGTTCCAACCTGCACGGAGAAAAAATACTACCCAAAATTTGAGTTCTTTTGACTTGATTTTGAGTTGATCCTCTCGCTTGCACTCGTTATCGTTGTCAAAAAATGAACGAGAGATTTGACCCAACAATATAGTTCAGCTCAATATGTTACTTTTGAGTAAATTGCATACTCTCAAATGTACGTGAATTAAACTTAATTTTGGGTAGAATATACTTAAGAGTAAGTAATTTTTTTTGCTGGTGTTAAATGCAAACTACTATATTAGATTAACTCAAATTTGAGTAGTTTTTCATCTCCGTGTGGATCGGGTATCAAGATTGGGTCTGCTTGTTGCCTTTCAAACGTCAGTGTTAACGTTTGTTTTTGTAACCTGGCTCGGGTTGAAGTTCGCACTGACAATAAGCTCGGATTCACACAGGTTGGAACTGGTTCCAACCTGGATAATAAACAAATTCGCTATAAGTACCATGGAAAAGAAAAGGACTAGGGGAAACGCTCCTATAGTTCAGGAACATTAGGAGCGTTAGGTTCCTATAGTTGTACATGGAGACTTAATACAAAACTATAGTAACCTAACGCTTCTAACGTACTGCAACTATAGGAGCGTTTACCCTAAGACAATTTGATAGAACAATTCAAATTTCGAAATTTGTCCAAATATCTTCAACATCAAGAAATTTGGTCTAATATAGCATCCCAGTTGCAGGATTTTTTAATCCTTTTCGAGTATTTTCATCACTGTGACCATTTTTCTGATCTATTGTGATATATTCCCCTTTTTTATAGCTATATCAAGATGCCGCATCACTATTATTAGGATTGATCGCCATTGTTTGACTAATAGCATTATCCCAGCAAGGCATTACACTTCGAATAAAGTGCACTGCCGTACTGGGAGTTGTTCTCCAAATGTTAAAGGGTTCTATCAGCCCCTTGTCGAAGAACTTACGCCTTTTATTGAAAATTGCCGGACAGTGGCATCGCAAATCAAGACCAGAAATTGAAAAGGCCTCAACTCCATTTTGTAAACAAACCTTACAACCATTCTGTCGCGAACCGAAGTCCGCCAACGCAAACAAACAAAATGAACAGGTAGGGAAAATTCTCCACTACTCGATTGTGTTTTAGGTTTGCGAATGTTGATTTCGGTTCGCGAGAAAATGGCCTTACAAGGTTTGTTTACAAAATGCAGTTGAAGCCTTTCAATTGTTGGTCTTGAAATGTTCCGAGTCTTCCTTTTCTATGCCACAGAAGCGACATACATCATCTTGGAGTTTTCCAATCAGCTTCAAGTGATAACGGCTCGGACAATGACCTGTTATAACACCTGTATATATGCTAAGATCTTTTTTTTAGAAAGTTCCAGGATTTTGTGGGTCACAGAAATGTTTGAATCGCGGAAGTGTTCTTTCAGTTTTCCTCCACTTTTGACGAATCCCACGCTTTTAGCTCCATTCTAAAAGATGCAGCCGATAAGCCACAAAAGGGCTCTGGCCCTATGAACTTATGAAAAGATCCGAGTCTTGCTAGTAAAGGGTGATACGGTCAAAATTTGGTCAAGGGAAAACGCGTGTAAATCGGTGAAATCGTTTATTTAAAAAATCAAATTAAATTTCTTTTTCAAGTTCAATTAGTATAAAATTCAGGAAAAATATTCAGTTAGGCTTCCGCTTTTCCAAATCCGAATTGCCGGGCCTTACGCTTGACCCCTGCCATCAGATTTTGTACAGCCACCTTGTCCACCTTCTTCGCCGCAGAAAGCCAGTTTGCCTTGAACTGCTGCTCGCCCTTAGCAGTTTTTTTGGTCTTCTTTAGGTTCCGCTTGACAATAGCCCAGTATTTCTCAATTGGGCGGAGCTCTGGCGTGTTGGGAGGGTTCTTGTCCTTGGGAACCACCTGCACGTTGTTGGCGGCGTACCACTTCATGGCCTTTTTACCGTAATGGCAAGATGCCAAATCCGGCCAAAACAGTACGGAACAACCGTGTTTCTTCAGGAAAGGCAGCAGACGTTTATTCAAACACTCTTTCACGTAAATTTCTTGGTTGACAGTCCCGGAAGCTATGAAAATGCTGCTTTTCAAGCCACAGGTACAGATGGCTTGCCAAACCAGATATTTCTTTGCGAACTTTGACAGTTTCATGTGCTTGAAAACATCTGCTACCTTTCCCCTTCCTTTTGCCGTATAAAACTCCTGTCCCGGAAGCTGCTTGTAGTCGGCTTTGACGTAGGTTTCGTCGTCCATTACCACGCAGTCAAACTTCGTCAGCATCGTCGTGTACAGCCTCCGGGATCGCGCTTTGGCCGTCGTATTTTGTTTATCATCGCGATTTGGAGTCACTACCTTCTTGTAAGTCGATAGTCCGGCTCGTTTTTTGGCTCGATGCACGGTTGTAGACGATACACCCAGCTTATTTGCGGCATCTCGGAGAGAGAGGTTAGGGTTTCGCTTGAAACTACCGGCAACTCTCTTTGTCGTCTCAGCGGCTTCCGGTTTTCGATTTCCCCCCGATCCAGACTTCTTGGCTGTCGACAAACGTTCCCCAAACACTTTAATTACATTTGTAACGGTTGATTTGGCAACTTTTAGCGATTTTGCCAACTTTGCGTGCGAGTAGCTCGGATTTTCGCGATGCGCGAGCAAAATTTTGATATGCTGCTCTTCTTGCTTGGACGGCATTTTGACAACTGAAGAGTGAATTCCAAAATCAAAATAGAAGCAACATTCTACACACACACACCTTCAAAATGAGGGGTGTTCAGGTTTTTTAAATGCAAAATTGAAAGAAATACGTCAAGTTGATATTGACCAAATTTTGACCGTATCACCCTTTACAGCAGCTCTTTCATTTCCGTCAATCCTGCAATGACCAGGAACCCAATATAAGTTGACTTGATTATGACAAGTGATTGAACACACTCCCAGACAAGTTTTGATGTACATGTCACCGATTTTAAAGCATTTAGAGCGCGTGACTGTCGGACATTATGCATATATTGTACTCTTATAGTTTCTACGCAAACATATAATAGAACACTCTTCCAGGATTCCAGCTTAGAACACAGTTGGCCATCTACCCATAGGAACCAATATGTCTATCCCTGGGCCAGTTACTCCTGCTCCCACTTGAATGTTTAATCTTGAACCATCTGTATAAAAAACAATCGCCCAGGGTTAAATACTTAAAAAAGTCGATTGAAATTGTATCTTTTCTCCCTCCAGTCTTCGTTGTTGCTTACTAGAGAGTTGATACTAACAGTTTTTAGAATCCTAAGATGTCCTCTAAGGTCTCCTTCAAAGAGTTTCACTGACCTTGTAATCCTTAGAGCAAACTTTTGGGCTTCTAATTGTACAAATTGATGCAAGGGTTTCATATAAAGCAACGAATCCAATGCCTTCGATGATACAGTGCGTGCGCGAAAAAGTTTTGCACGTGTACTTTGAGAATAAGGATCTGTCACAAAAAAGTTGGAAATCGCGAATTCCACGGTGTCTGGTATCATAAAACGGTTCGAAGAACGTCTAACTGTTGATCGGAAGCGAAGATCCGGGAAAAAAGCCATTATGTCAACGAGAACGATCACAAACGCGTGGCTGGGGCCTTTAAACGGAAACCAAATGCCTCAGTTCGAGATGTGCCTAAAAAGTTGCATGTGAGCAAGACTTTCGTGCAGAATACCAAAACTCGAGCTGGACTACGTACGTTT